TCATGTACTAATACAACTTGGCCTCTGAATTGCCCGATTCTTGATAACACAAGTATAAAATACCACCCTGCCAGTGCTTCATCAACCTCGCCAAAAAGAACACTTTCATGTTGCTATATCTCAAAAGAATATGTTTAGGAATCCGCTCCATCTTTTCTTTTTCCTCGCAATTTCGCTTCACATTATTAGAAAAATGTTCAATTCGATTCGCACTCACACTTCAATATTCGAATTCGCTTCACACACGAAATTTTGCTATTCACACAGCTTTATTAGAAAGTGTCCTAAAAACATAATACTGGTACAAAGTAAACTGGCACGGAAGGGGCGGTGTCAGTGATCAAAACAAGAATAAAAAGGGGTGGGGTGGAGGGTAGGCTCTTCAAGATAGCCTTAAGGTCAAGTCCGCTTGATGAAATCTTGGCATCAGCGATACCCCATGTTCACAAATTTCTCACCTCAATATATGCAATCGAAGTACAATTCGTAGGTATGAGTTCCTGGGCTACTTTCTTGGTTGGGGAATAAGCACGGAGTTTGGCAAACAAGCCAGATGACTGAGGACAACCGATCGGTTAGGAGGGAAGAAAGAGTGCCGTCGGCAATCTTTTTTCTTTGAAGAGTGGATGATCTTCTCTACTATCCCGAATCCCTGGATCCACTTTTGACAAGGTTCCTTGACTGGGTCCCCCAATGACGTTTCAAGCTTTAGCAAATGCCAAGGACTAACACCATTACATCCTGTCTGTTTCCATAATTTAGCGTTGCATTGCAGTTTGCACTTACGGAAGCCACCACACGGCGTAGTTAGGAGCAATTAATTCCTGCGGTGATGCCACTCGATGTTCATTAATTTGCAATTGGAGAAAAAACTGGCCGCACTGAGCAGGCTTTCAAGCGCAGAAAAAAATCCGCTGGGAAGATTTGCAAGCAGGGAAGCTGACCTTTTTTTACCTATAGGCGATAGCACAAGCTGGATAATCTAACGGTATTTAGGATGCATGAGAGCACTAGTTCTTTACATGTGGCTGACTGCATAGCTCAGTTTCTACGAGCACTGACTTGCCACGGCGTTAAGTCTGTTTTGTAATCAAGGCTTGCGTCGAGCTCTTGGAAGTGGACAAGCAGCAGTTGCACCACATCATGCCACACACACTCTACAAGAGCATATGGTATTAGCTTTACTATAAGCACACCGAAGAACGCTGTGCAACATGATAAAGAGAAGTGCTCAGTTTTTTTCGAGCTATCAAACTTTTGCACTGCCGAATGTTCACTTGCACGCTGACACTGTTTACAGCACACAGTTCCTGCTAACACAGTGGCTACGTTACGGAGCACACAGTGACTCACGAATGAAAAAGATAATGTTTTTACATGTTATCGCAAGTTCCCTAACGAATAAGAGAACAGCATTGCGAACATTCAGGAGACACACGGCGGTGCAGAGACTTCAATTAGGCTGAATATAACAATGAAGAACGCATCGCAGGAATTTAGTGAGGGCCTCGACAGCATTGTGGAGAGGCTCTAGCTGTATTTCTTGGGACTAAGAATAGTTATTAGCACCGAGAAGTTGGGAGTGACGTCGCCTGGTGGGAGGCTTGCATGACGTCACGGAACGGACTCCTCAAGTGTGGCTGCGGTGCGCGTATACAAAACGCGCGCTTGCTTCGAACGCCGTTGCACTGCCAGCGTTCACTTTTTGCTTTTCCACGCTTTAAAAAATGACAGAAGCAGCATTGATATTGTTCCTGGTAAAACAATAAAAAACTAAACATTTTTTTTGTGTAGAACCGCGAACGGTGCTTGCGCTCCAGCGTACAAGCTTTGATAAGATTTTTTATGGTGTCGTGCTGCTTACTTCGAAGATAAGTTCGATTCTCGGCCATGGTAGCTGAACTCTGACAGAGGTGAACAGCAAAACAATGCATGTGCAGCAGGTTAAAAAATGCGAGGTGACCACGATTACTCTGCAGCGTGCCTCGCAATCATGTCGCACTTCTGAAACTTGTACGACAGCGCACTTGCATTTCAGGTCGCGTTGTTCACAGGTGATTCCTTTAAAAAGAAGTGAATGTTTGGCCTCCACAAGTGTTGTCTGTACCAGACGCAGCAAGATAACTGGTGACAGCATTTTTTTTTTCTCCTATGGGCGCATGCTTAAGTTAGTATCGAGTGTTGCTAGATATTTTAAATGCGCCCGCCCAAGACTACCGTCGCAGCGGTTGCGTTCGATTTTATTGTGTGTAGCTGCTCATAGTTCATCCTATTATTAGCTTCGTGATTTGGGGAATAATTTCGGTGCTCCGTTTCACTAGAAGAACAAGTTGAGGTTAGTTGCAGAAACTGCCACTGATTCTAGATAATGTCTACGTGCAACATCCCAGCAACTGTGCTGTCACCCTTGAAAGTACCAGTTAGGATGCCCACCTGATGAATAAATTTTTCGACGGTTGATTACACCAGAACAGCATCAATCTGCATATGAACATCACGTGCGAGACCAATCGTTGCTTCAGGCAAAGGGCGTATCCTTATCATGAAGGCCACGAAGCGGCGTCCGCCATTTAAACAGTTCATTTCGACCTCTGGAGTTTGTTTTGCAAATGATTGCTATCAGCACTATTCTTACTTGAAGTGAACATAACCATTTATGACGTGATGGTAGATCGAGTCAGCTGTTCGCGAAAATCAGGGTATGCGGCTACGTAATCCTGACAGCAGTTGAGAAGAAATCTGTACATAAGATCCGATTATACCAACTTTTTTTAATTGCAGAAGTTTTTAATTGCAGAATACATATTAAAATTATGAAGCTTCGTTTCCTTCATAACGATACCGACTTCGCAGAATTACGGAAGCCATTGTGTGGTTTGCAGCATTACCTATTTCTCTCACTATTATAAGTGATTGTGTATGGAAGACAACTCCATCTAAAGTCTCCTGCATCCCAAAGTTGAATTCTGTCAAATGACCTACATTATTTGCAGAGGCAGACATAAATTTCATGGTAAATCACAATGCTAAGTAAACTGAAAACTTCTTAATTTCATTTGTAATACTTCGACACCAATGTTTAATCTCATAGTCCGTGCCAAGTGGCACGAATATTTTCTTAGTATTGATTTCGCCGAGTACGTGCATGGTGAAAATAACTAATGTCTCGCTGTCCTGCACCTTCATTTTCGAAGTGGATCCATACTTTCTGCAGTTTAGTTAAATTTTGATAGCAATAAATGTATTTACTTTGTACCTTTAGTAATCTACACTACGAAATTGAGAAGAAATCACCCTATCGCTGAAAAGCAGATACACGGCGGGCTCGGAAAGAAGCGATCGTTGGCATGCATCGGCAGCGGAGCAGGCGAGTCTATGACGTGACGTCACTTTTCGGGGACTGCAGCGACGCCAGTGTTCTTTCTCGGGGCTAATAGGCCATAAACGGGCCGATGTAACATAAACAAGTAGACTAGTGAACGTGGGTGCAGTTGGTGCCCGCTAAACACAAACATGCCCAGAAAGACGCAGAGATTCGGATTGTAGCGAGATGGTCGAATTGGCGCAGTTGGACCGCCACTGCATATTTTCATGACATAGCAATTTGATTTTTATGACATAGCAATTTGAAAGTGTTTATTTTCACTAGGTTGATGAAGCACTGGCGGGGTGGTGTTTCATTATTGTGTTATAAAGAATGAGGCAATGCAGTGCTTGTATTTACGTACATGATTTGGTGTAATGAAAGTGCTGCCGACAACACTTCACATGTGAAAAGCAAAAATGCTATTTTCTCAGCCTTTTTCAACATGTGTGGAAACGCAACTGATGTGGTGGACAGGGGTGCTCTCTTCAATTTTGGACTTCCAAATCTGCCTCGTAGACGACAATAACACCTGAAAATTTAGGATTCTTAATGCCTTCAGCGCCCGACTTTTTCATCTTCCTGCCTAAATTGCAGTTCCAAAACATCATCGATTGAGCCCCCACCTCTGCCAGATCAATCAACTCTATGTTTGGAACCAACATTTTTTTTTCTATCGTAGCGAAGCTTGAAAGAGAGCTTTGCTATAACATGAGAGTTTAATGGGGTGAAGCATTCTGAAAATCTGCAGAGACAACTTTTAATCAAACGACTATCTGTCAATAGAAAATTCGACCATTGCGGAGCTAAGGCACCTCTCCCGCAATACAAAAGTAATGACTGATTGATTGATATGTGGGGTTTAATATCTTGATTGATTGATATGTGGGGTTTAACGTCCCAAAACCACTATATGATTATGAGAGATGCCGTAGTGGAGGGCTCCGGAAATTTAGACCACCTGGGGTTCTTTAACGTGCACCCAAATCTGAGTACACGGGCCTACAACATTTCCGCCTCCATCGGAAATGCAGCCGCCGCATCCGGGATTCGAACCCGCGCCCTGCGGGTCAGCAGCCGAGTACCTTAGCCACTAGACCACTGCGGCGGGGCCTAGGGGTTTAATATCTTAAAACCACCATATGATTATGAGAGACGCAGTAGTGGAGGGCTCCAGAAATTTGGACCATCTGGGGTTCTATAACGTGCACCCAAATATGAGCACACAAGCCTATAGCATTTTCGCCACCATCGAAAATGCAGCCACCACAGATGAGATTCGATCCCGCGACCTGCGGGTCAGCAGCCGAGTGCCTTAGTAACTAGACCGTGACGGTGGGTAATAGCAAAGTAATGAGGTGCAGCATTTTAAAATACTGAAGGGGCCACTGTTGCTTTGACATTAACTGTATTTGATCTTGGGAAGCTCAAACACTTAGAATAGCAAAACTTCAGTGCTAATCGAATTACAATAGAGCACACTACTAGAAATTTCAAATAGTAACACATCCCTAAACGTAACCACTATACCACGATGGCAGAATGTGAATTTTCAAGCAGTGACCAAGTAACCTAATAAACTGAAGCATAGAAGACGGAATAAAAGGAAGAAACTAAGTAAATGGAGAAAACTCACTGTCGTTGTCGCTGTCTTCGGTGTCAGAGTAGAGAGGTGTGCCTCTACTACGTGGCATGTCTGTCACAGAGGTTATTGTGGTGGTGATGGTAGTGGTGGAGTCGCTGGCCGACCACTGCCCCTGTGCAAGGTTGAGGGAGTCAGCTGCGCCGTGCAGGCCGTTTGGAACTCTGCACACGACGACGAGACATGGGTTTAGACTGTGCCCTACAGAACTGGTAGAGCTAACAGACTTTTCTATGGTTTGGATCATGATACAGTCACTGACCAAGGAAAGGTGAAAACAGACCACAGTTCTGAAACGTCCGTTTTCTCTCTTTGACTTGGTCGGCGACCGTATCTTCATACTGACCATGATACCTAAGCAGACAAACTTCTGTCAAACTTCTTGACTGCATTTACAAGGTTCGCCGCAGCGTTTGCAAGTGAGGGGAACTAAACGTAGGTCTTATTGTAGTGCTAATTTTGTTCCAATGCAGCGCTGATTCTACAGTTAATGTAGCAGTTAATGTAGCACTAACCTGAATCTTTTGTAGGTCTTCATGTAATCCCAAATCTTGCGCTTAACACAACCCCACCATACCGTGACAAAGTGCGTACCATGGCCGACCCAGCGATTCTTTTCGCAATTGAGTGCTTTCTGAGGCGGCTTTCTCGCAAGGAGTGGGTCTGGGCCAGATGTTTCAGAAGCATTTTTTCTGATTTTGGGTAAGTTGCAGCACATAGTACTTGAGTTATTAGGGGCGAAGCATCGAAAGAGCCCACAATTTCCAACTCCATACCACCGTCTACAGCAGATGGAGCAAAGGTGCATGTGAATAAATGAAAACATCAGTGAACAAAAAGGATAATGAAAGGCTGTTAACCAGAAAAAACAAAACAAGTGCCCTCAACACTGTTAAAATGCTGTCAACAGAACAAAAGGTTAACAAGAACAATAAAACTATGTTAGCCAGAACAAAATAGAAGGCCACAACACCATAAAAGCAGCCAGGCGATAATGGTAACGAGCTACCAAAGTTGAAAACACAGCAAGTGATGGCTACAACGCCAGAAGCATTGTCTACTGGAGTGTAGACTTGCAATGCCACAAAGGGGTCGCTGATGAAGGTGCACACTCTACACAGTCTCACCGCCGCCATGGATGAGAGCACATATAAGGCTGCTACTCCGACCTACGAGCTCAAGAAACGGCAGCAAAACAACAAAGCCATTTAAATAATCATTTGATGATGATTCACGATTGATATGTAGAGCTTAGCATCCCAAAACCACCATACGCTTATGAGAGACGCCTTAGTGGAGGGCTCCGAAAATTGGAAGTTTCACGTATCTACTAGCAGCGCACAAAAGCTAGCATGATTGGTCAAAATTAAGAAATTATTACAAACTGCCCTAGAATGACTTTATGCAAATAAGCTGGTTCACTATTTTTGTATAAAAGCAAGATTTGGAGCTTCAAAAACTCTCATTAGAGTTTGTGTCACCACTTCAATACCATCCCATACTACTACTACTACTACTATCGTGGTTAAATTAAAAGAGACTAATACTTTTGGTAAGCAATCAATACAGTTCAATACGTAATCAATACTCAATAATCGATGCTGATTTGTCGAGCTATCTATATCCCGGTCCAATTGAACTTAGTCAAGTTACCAATACTGCTACTCGATAATCCATCTATGTTGATATGTCCAGATGAGCAAAGCCCAGTTTGACTGAATTTAGTCGAGTAAATCAAAACGATTAATTAGCAATACCAGAGCTTAGATTTTCGCTGTGATGAGCCTAGCACCGCCACGCATTCTTCATTTTACGACTATCTACAGGGTCAAGGGCAACTCTCCTCTGCCCAAATCGGGACGATACCTCGCCTGAAGTATCACACAGACTCACCCCTGCTTGAAGCCCCAGCTACTGACGACTTCGCTTTCGGACTCGTCAGTCTCGTTGTAGAGGCTATAGCGAGGGCTTCCGTTCTGGACGACAGGCGCAAAGTGTACCTGCTTCGCCTGCAGTTTAGTGGCATCCGAAGACCTCAGTATCCCCAATGACTGCACAAACAAAATTAGGCAAATCACCGCTTATGAACAAGTTTCGCTACAAGGGAGAAACAATCAGAAGGAATGTTATACTGTACGCGCACAGAGTAAGGCCAACCGCTCGCTCCTTTCGCATATGACCTGGCGCAACTCAACAGAATGCTGGTGTAGGCTTTTTGAGCATGCATTAATGGTACACAGTTATAAACGGCACAAAAACACATGGAACACAGAAAAAGGAAATCACGCAGACGCGGGCACCGGTGGTTTTCTTTTTCTATGTGTTTTTGCACCGTTTATAACTATGAACCAACACCAACTCCCCCAACCGTCAGTGCTATTAAGTGTACACTTGAAAATACCTGATGTAGCGCAAACCGACACACAGGAAGCAGTGGTAGAAGCAACATTTTGAGTTTTGGAGCAGAAAAACATGTTAGCCTGAAGCAGATATCAAAGTATTCCAAACCACTCCTAAGTTTAATGCATCACTTAGGACTCTTACACATGATAATATTAATTATTAAACCTATTGTACATATAGTAATCAATTCAAATTGTAAGAATCATATTTAGGCAGATAGACTGTCTTTGAACATTAAGTGATGTTTTTCTATTTTGCCAAAGTAGCCAGAATTGAAATCTTCCAGTGTGAAATAAGCTAAACCAACTAACATTTAAAATTTTTGTTCTTGTCACATGAACAAGGTCAAACTTGATGAGAGCGCTAAATGTAACCAGTCACATGTCAAAGTTGTCACAGAGCGGCTAGTGTGACTAAGAAGTCTCACACCCCTTTCACCCGAATCGTCCGCTTGCAAGGTACAAATATACAACTATATCAAATATATATAGAAAATGAGAGTACGTGTAGCGATGTTTATATTCTAGTATATAGCTACTATGGAAGATGTGTACTAGATGACAGTATACGGCTTGTTTTTGTTTTCATTTAGGCTAGACAGATGGTCACATGCTTGAACTTCAATGTTTTTAGTTCCCCCAACATCATTTTGGAACAGGTCCGCAGCAGTTCCTAGCAAATATTGCACTTTGGAGCAGCATCTGTCTTTTGGACCAGTTTGGAGCCATCGAAGCAGCACTTCCATCTCTGCAAGAAGGCACGTATGGACACCACACAGCGCTACCCAGCTACAAAATGTTCATTTTTAACCCATATATGCCCAAACTTAAGGAAATTAATAAAAGCAATTTATTTCTACAAAATGATTGATTCTACAACATCAGAAAAGAGAATAAGGCTTTTATTTAGAAAAAATTACACTTTTCCAAGTGAAGGTTTTGGAGCTAGCTTACATGTAGGACACTGGGCGGATGCACTACTTAAATGAGTGATACAAGGTGAAGCATTTGACATGCACTCCGATAACACATTTTCCACGTGTAGTGGTCTTGCCATTGCAATGAGTGCATCATGTTTGCTTCTCTCGATGGACCACCACGTGGTCAGTGCGATCAAATCAATTTTCCTCTTTCAGAAGAGATTGACGGCTTCTGTTACACAATGACTTGGAGCCATAGCCCTTCATGTACCCTATCGATACTGTCCTGCGAAACGGGAGAAGCTCTGTTTTGTGAATTTCTCTCCTGTATAATTGGAATACACTGTTCATGCTTGCATCAAGAAGATATGTTAGAAGTGATGAGTATCACTTTTTTTTCTCACTCAAATGATGGCGCGCCAAATTGAAATATTTCAATGCTGTTGGTCATTTTGAATATCACGCGAGTTTTGCCATGACCTTCGATGCCTTGAAACCGGTACATATCCACAGAGAAGCGAAATTCCGAGAAAATATTTCATCTCGCCAGCATTCACGTTCAGTGACCTATTCTGTTGTGCATGGGTGGTGTTCACAAGCAGTAAGTTGATGACTTTTTTATTAAAAAACCTTTAAAATGCTTCTACTAAATTTAATGGGGTTCTTTTGGGGGAATCCCGCTCACACAAGTCACCAACTGGCAAGCTTTAGTTCAAGTCACGTTTATCCCACTTGACCAGACGTTTCTGCGTATTAGCTGATAGCTCTCTTCTTTCTCATTGTCACTTGGCTCAGAGCTCGAGTGCACAAGTTCGGCCCAAAGACAGCTTCCTGGTAGATGATGATGATGGTGATGCCTCAGATATGGCTCATACCTACTGAGGGAGATCGGCCAAGAATTTATTACATCATTTAGTGACTTTTTCAGTATTGAATATTGCCACTAGTACAAGTTCTGAAAGTATTATTTCCATAGATGCTGGCAGGCTTGTATGTGCCGCAGTTCAGAAGAGGACGAAGATGCGCGTGCAGAGAAAAACGATAAAGTCGTATTGCCATTGTTCGAATCAGTTTGAGGTCCTTGTGTGCCATTATCTACAGGTTACGGTTACGTTGTAACGTGACAACTGGTGGAGGTGCTGGGTAATAGTCTATGCACTGTTACCACTGAGGAAGTTCTCGGCCCCAACATCGACGCCTTGGTAGAGACAGCCAACCTTCGACGCAGTCGGCGGCAACTAGGCCTACCACCCCAATTCAGTCCTCTTCGGGAACGCTCCAGAATCATGGCTTATGCGACAACTGCAAGCCAGACAGCACAGACCACGACTCCACCAGCTCCATGGCTACCAGCCTCTCGAACGCCAAAGCCCTTCTATGGGGAGCCCTACGAAGACGTTGAAGACTGGCTGGACCAATACGATCGAGTCGCCGTCGCCAACGAGTGGGACGAGCACCGGAAACTGCGGTATGTTTATTTCTACCTGGAGGATTCAGCCCGTCGCGTCTCTCATAATCATATAGTAGTTTTGGGACGTTAAACCCCACATATCAATCAATCAGGATTCGGCGCGTATTTGGTTCGAGAACCACGAGGCCACCCTGACAACCTGGCCGGTGTTTTGCACTCGGCTGCGGAACACGTATGGTAGTGCCGACCGGAAAGAACAAGCCGAACAGTCTCCTCAATTCTCGCAATCAAAGACCCAATGAAAGCGTGGCCATGTTCGTTGAGGAGATGTCTTGTCTGTTCCGCCGATGTCTTGTCTGTTCCGTCGAGCGGATTCTGCAATGACGGAAGGCAAAAAGGTACGCATTCTAATGCGGGGTGTCAAGGAGCAGCTGTTTGCAGGACTTGTACGAAACCCACCAGCTACCGTGGCAGAATTCCTCCGTGAAGCGACGACAATGGAGCGAATGCTGAGACAGCGGTCCGTCGCAGTATGAGCGGTCCGACAACCTTGCATGTCTGTCAGCACCCTTAGTAACACCCGATGCCACGAGCGTGAGAGACCTTGCTGAGCTAGTCCATAGCATTGTACGCGACGAACTACAAAAGCTTCACGCAGTGTCTTCACAGCCTCAAGTGACTGCTCTGACAGACGTCGTCTGTGAAGAGGTGCGGCAGCTGGTACGACCATTAGTGCCACCTCCAACCGAAGCTCCTCTGCTAACGTACGCGGAAGCTGTACGCACTCCTGCACCGGCAGCCAGCTATTTCCCCCGACCGACTAGCCTGCAGACGCCGCAGCACTTTTCGGGCCTGCCACACTATGAAAACCAACGACCGACTTGTCTGCAGATGCCGCAGTACTTCTCGGGCCCGCCACACTATAAGAATCCGCGACCTAGTTTGCGGAAATCTATCGTACTGGCGTGCTTCCGACAATCGGCCACTATGCTACCACTGTGGTGAGCCAGGTCACTTGTACCGGGAGTGCTCGTACAGACAGATGGGCCTACCTAGATTTCGGCCAGACGCTCGTCGGCCCAGAGATGGGGAACGACCCCGCGCCATCGCAGAATACTTAGCAAGTCTACCGTCTCCGAATCTTCAGCGACGCCAATCATGCTCTCCGTCTCCTCGACGCTCTATGTCCGTGAATCAATACTCTACTTTCGCCGATGTTGATGCGGGACGATCCGCTAGGTCCCCAAGTCCACGCCGGGAGAAACTAGAATCAGCGGCCTCCGGGGGTGGGACCGCTGTTAAGCTATCGTCAAAACAGCCTCCTCCGACCCATCCGCCGACCTTCGACGATTCCTTTCAGCCGACACCTCACATCGCGGACAAACCCGTTTCTGCAGACATCGCCGTCCTTGTCGACAACCATCCAGTGACTGCTCTGGTCGACACCGGCGCCGACTGCTCAGTTATCAGAGCTGAACTTGTGGCTGAACTCAGGAAAGTCCCGACTCCTTGGGGGCATGGACCAAACCTTCGGACAGCAGGTGGTCATCTCTTGACACCAATCGGGAGATGCACCGCAAGGCTGTAAATCTGTGAGTCGACGTTCGTTGCTTCTTTCTTTGTGCTTTCCGAATGCTCCCGGAAAGTTATCCTTGGCATGGATTTCCTTCGCGAGCACGGCGCTGTTATAAATCTTCGAGACTGCCTCGTAACGTTTGCTAACAACTATGGCCCGAAGCCTAGAGATACGGATCCGCAGAAGACTGCGCTTCGCATTGTCGACGACACCGTCACACTTCTGCCACGCTCCAGTATGTTCGTTACTGAACAGGGTGACATAGACCATGACGGTAGTGGTATCGCTGAAGCCAACCTTTCGGTGCTCTTGTCTCAGGAAATCTGCGTTGCCCGTGGCATAATTCAATTTAAACGTGGGACGATTGAGTTGTTGGTCACCAATTTTAGTGGAGCATACCAACAATTGGCCAAGCGAACAACTATCGCTCATTTTGAAGCCATTGACGATGAAGCGTGTCCGACAATAGCCCCAATTTCTGCAGCCATTGAAAGTGACACCGCAGTAGCCAATACAGTCGATGTCAATCCCAAGCTGTCATGTGCGCAAAAAGAGCAAATCCGCTGTATCCTCTGCATGTTTAGCGACTGTTTCGCGTGTACATCTAAGATCAAACAAACGCTAACCGTAAAGCACCGTATTGTTACTGACCATGCTGAGCGACCCATACGTCAGCACGCCTACCGAGTATCACAAAAGGAACAAGAGGCAATACGTTCTCAAGTGAGGCAGATGCTCGAAGATGGCGTAATCCAACCCTCGAGCAGTCCATGGTCGTCCCCCGTCGTACTAGTAAAGAAGAAGGACGGCACTTTCTGATTTTGCGTCGATTACCGCAAACTCAACAAAGTCACAAAGAAAGATGTTTATCCGCTTCCGCGCATCGACGACTCACTAGACCGCCTCCGACGCGCCCGATACTTCTCCTCTATGGATTTACGCAGTGGCCACTGGCAGATCGAAGTTAATGAACGCGATCGAGAGAAAACAGCATTCATAACGCCTGATGGTCTGTACGAATTCAAGGTGCTGCCCTTCGGTCTGTGTTCTGCCCCTGCGACATTCCAGAGGATGATGTATACAATGCTCTCCGGCCTCAAGTGGGAAGCATGCGTTGTTTACTTAGACGACGTCGTTGTCTTCTCGCAAACGTTTGAGCAGCATTTGCAGCGACTTAGATCTGTGTTTGCTGTAATTCGCACAGCAGGCCTATCACTGAAACCAGAAAAATGTCATTTTGATTACAACAAATTAAAGTTCCTCGGCCACCTTGTTAGCCCTGATGGTATTCGGCCGGACCCAGACAAAACATTGGCTGTCGCAGATTTTCCACCACCTGCCAACAAACGTGATGTGCGTCGATTTTGAGGCCTCTGCGCATACTACAGATGCTTTGTGCAAAATTTCACAAACATTGCCGAACCCCTCACTCGTCTGACAAAAGAAGATGTTCCCTTCATGTGGGGCCCTGAGCAAACACGCGCTTTCTCCGAGCTCCAGCAGCGTCTCCAGTCTGAGCCCTTACTCGGACACTATGACGAATATGCCGACACTGAACTGCACACAGACGCCAGTAACATCGGCCTTGGTGCAGTCCTCGTCCAGTGGCAAGGCGGCGTCGAACGCCCTATTGCTTATGCGAGCCGGATTTTATCATCTGCGGAAGCGAATTACACAACCACTGAAAAGGAGTGCCTAGCTGTTGTCTGGGCAATAGCTAAATTCAGACCATACCTGTATGGTCTCCCGTTCAGAGTTGTTACCGATCATCATGCGCTCTGCTGGTTGGCCAACCTTAAAGACCCTTCCGGACGTCTGGCCAGGTGGAGCTTACGCCTTCAGGAGTTCGATTTGACAGTCGTGTACAAGTCTGGCCGGAAGCATACTGACGCGGACTGCCTTTCCCGAGCTCCTCTTAAGACAGCGTCAGGTGATCAGGATCTCAACGGCCGTTTTCTCTGCGCCGTTAGTGCATCCGACTTGGCTGAACAGCAGAAGAACGATTCAGAGCTTCGACAATTCATCGAATTTCTTGAAGGCCAAACGCCACATCCACCACCAGCATTCGCCTGCTTGCCATCATCGTTCTGCGTTCGCAGAAATATCCTCTATAAAAAAAACTTCGATCCTTACGCAACTGAGTACCTGCTCGTCGTCCCGCCAGCGTTACGAGCCGATGTCTTGTCCGCCTGTCACGATGAGCCTTCCTCAGGCCACTTAGGATTCACACGTACCTTGGCCCGGATTCGCCAACACTACTACTGGCCTAAGCTCAATCGAGACGTGAAGCATTACGTGAAAACGTGTCACGAGTGTCAGCGCCGTAAAGCACCACACCAGCGCCCAGCCGGCTTTTTGAAGCCCGTCACTCCTCCGACACAACCGTTCCAACAAATTGGCATGGATCTACTCGGACCTTTTCCCAAGTCTCGTGACGGCAACCGCTGGATTGTAGTCGCTACTGATTACATGACGCGCTACTGCGAAACGAAGGCATTACAACGTGGCACCGCCATTTAGACTGCCCACTTTTTTATGAAGAACATCGTCCTCCGACATGGAGCACCAGCAGTTGTCATAACTGATCGTGGCACAGCTTTTACCACCCGGATGATACAAGATGTCATGCAGCTTAGCGGCACAGTACATCAAAAAACTACTGCATACCACCCACAAAGCAACGGCCTTACAGAGCGACTAAACAAGACGATCGCCGACATGCTATCCATGTACGTTGACCAAGACCACAAAAACTAGGATGACATCCTCTCTTACGTCACGTTCGCTTACAACACCGCTGTGCAAGAAACAACTGGATTCACACCATTCCGGTTGCCTCACGACAGAAAGGTCACTACAATGATGGATGCCATGCTTCTGCCAGACAGACAGACACCAGATTAGTGTCAAGACGAACAAATTTATCAAACTGGCAGACGCAGCTCGTAAGCTCGCAGCCGAACGAATCCACAAGCAAGAATGCATCGACTCGTTGCGGTACAACCCTCGTCGTCGCGATGTCTCTTACCAACCCGGAGAACGAGTATGGTTGTGGACTCCCATTCGACAACGGGGCCGGTCGGAAAAGTTGTTACGCCGCTATTTTGGTCCCTGTAGAGTTCTCCGCCGTCTCAGCGAAGTAAACTTTGAGGTTCTTGACGAGGACATGGCTCGTAAATCCCGCCGTTCACAACAGCCACACGTCGTCCATGTTTCGAGAATGAAACCATTTTACCAACGCTGACTATTCGTCAAACTTCCTTGAGTAGACTTACAGTGATTGTGAACACCCCTTGTGTACTGCTTATGGTATGACTTTTCTTTTCATCTGGTAATTATGTTGTGACATCGGGACGATGTTCTTTGGGAAGGGGGGTAATGCCACTAGTACAAGTTCTGAAAGTATTATTTCCATAGATGCTGGCAGGCTTGTATGTGCCGCAGTTCAGAAGAGGACGAAGATGCGCGTGCAGAGAAAAACGATAAAGTCGTATTGCTATTGTTCGAATCAGTTTGAGGTCCTTGTGTGCCATTATCTACAGGTTACAGTTACATTGTAACGTGACAATATTGATAGCCACAAAAAACAGGCACGGGAGTACGTAAAACGAGAAGAGTGCAATAATTGTTCTTCACTCATTCAGATCAGGCAGTGTGGTCATCTTGGACAGAAATTAGCACTTCCAGCAAAGCAAAGTAAAGCGTGTCCATGCTGGGGCCTTCTTTATGACCGCTTTTTCCATCTGTCACTGCCGCAGTGTACTTGTCAGGCGGAAGAATGGCTAGAACTGAAGGTACATCTTCAGCAGCGTCCGCAAAATTCAAAAAGTTGAATGTTTGCGGGCGCTTTCATGACTAAAATGAACTGCAGGGAATCTCCTGACTTCACATAAAATAAAAACATGGAAGTACTATGCACCTGTGTGTGTGTCATTACAATACTACGAGCTTCATGGGCAGCGGTGCAGAACACGTCACAAATTGATGAAACGACCACACACCATCTGCCTATTGTCGTATATGTAGGACACCTATGTTTGACACACTGCAAACAAAGAACATTAGCACCTGCTACTGTCACACAAAATTAACTGCACATGCAATACTGACAAACAATCTACAAAAATATTAGCATCGAGAACAATTTCACTCTATATTACTTACATTTTCTTCTGCGGCATGGCACTCAGCTACGCGCATGCGAAATAACCATTTTGCAACTGCAAGCGTGCGGCTATTTGTCGCCCAGCGATCACCTAGACTTGCATGTGAGGAGAGCAGGACGTCAAACGCACCTTAGGGGGCAATTACAGAAAAAGCGCTCGATTTACACTGACAAGTTTTAGCATCCTAAATGTAGGACACTGAGCAGATATGGGTTAAAATCAGACTGCTTTTAAACCATTATTACCAGGCCGACATCTGAGCACATGGGATCATTCAGATAATGTGCAACAATGTCACTTTACCTAAGCTATATCATAACAGTTCAAACCACTTATCGCCGCTTACACAGATAACCCAACTGCTGAAGCGACAATGCGATTGAAGGCTTGCTAATGTACAAATCAAGCGAATCGAGAAGTTCTGCTTCCACAATCAGACGAGTAGTTTCATTTTATATCAAACAACAATTACATTGTTCTTGTACAAAGGCCGGCAACCACATGTATGAATGCAAAGAGAAATAAATTCTTTCAGGCAACTGAGAGAGCTCAGTTACAAGTAGAATAAACTTCCGCTTGGCAAATTAGGTGTCATTTACGGGCACAATATCAAATCATCTTCAACTGTCTAAACCTAGTATACATCACTTAATTCGCACCAGTGCTAAGCGATCTCACATCGGCCTATACCTGAACATCCTAAAAACAGCTTAGTTATACTATACTTCAATAAGGTCATTAATTATTATAAGGACCATGTGTATTAATTATCATAACACACGAAAAAATTTATTCTGCAGCATAGCACAATAAAATTTTCCCTGTTTACATAGGTTTTCATGCAAAATTCAAATATGTTCTCACGTTTAAAGCAAGCGCTTAAACCAAAAACGTGTACGAACAAGAAGGTAACAGCTTGCAGTACACATGGTTGCACCACAATTGTTTTCTCTGTAGTACTGTATGAACAAGAAAATACGTAGCACAGATTATTTATACTGTGGTAATGCTGAATTTTAATACCATGACCAAATCTTTTAAAAATAATGCTGTGATTTAACGTACGCATCTTTACTAATGCCAGCCTTTATACGATATATCTGAAACAGCAATCTCAAGCACAGTTTCCTTACGCAAGAAGACTGCAATTCCCATCCTAGCTCACATCCTACAGCGCAAATGCACACTGTAGCACATACTTGCAGAAGACTTCTCTTTCAGCAACGCGCAAATGACGTACCTGTGTTGTAGTCTGGCTGCTTTCCGAATACAGCAGGGACAAGTCTTCAGACAGGTCAGAGTACTTTCCCGTTCTCCTGGCAATCTCCAGTGAGTTCCGTGGTCTTAGTGGGGTTGAATGCCTCAAGGGTGAGAAGGAGCCAGAGCTCGGCTCTCCGCTCTTGGAGTTGTCGCCCTGAGAATCGCGATACGCTGCGTCGCCTCTGCGCTGATCCAATCGAGATGGCCTGCGCAGACGAAAATAAAACTAAGGAAGGGGCAATGTGTCTCATTGTTTTCCTCAAGTTCACTGACAATAAACCTGCTCAATTGTACCAGAAGGGAGCATGCATCACGATACTTGCGGTTCTTAAGGGGCCCTGTTGCAGTTTTTCAAATAGCCATGAAATGAGTTCACTGAAGGAACTTATTGCATCATAAATTCACCGCCACGAAAATTAGTAGTATTTGTCCAGCACAAGTGGACATACAAAGATTTGTCGCATGCTGCAACTGCATTCTATCTCCTAGCCGTACAGACGAAAGTGCTGGAAGCTAAGCAGGGAGCGATGGTGCAGAGAAAAAAATATGTCATGTGCGCCTCATGACCTTCAGCACTTCTCACAGGCGAAACTCCTTAGGGCATGGGTCTGTACATTTTATGGTGTTTGTTGTTGGTGATGTACATAGCCACCGGTGGCACATACCAACTCTAGTGCGGGTATGTGCCATCAGTGGCAGTACTTGTAGTTGATGATGCTTGTATGTGATAAAACTTAAAGATAGTACAAGAATGCACCGTTCATACTCGTTGGTGAATTCAACGTTGATGTCGCAGACACGACCAATAATTGGATTATTCAACATGTGGCTTCTAGATATTACTCAGATGTATATCGTATGACTATAGGAAACCAACAACAATCCAAGAAACATGCATTGACCTAGTATATGAAAATTTTTCACTGCAACCCATACAGGAACCGCTCACCCTTCATTTCCCAGACCATAAAGCCATCATATTGAAGGGACATCACAAGCAATCCATCGTCCTTAAGAGCAAATAAAAGTTGCTTTCTATATATACATACACATACAGTGTTTCTCATAATGTCTTTACAAGATGATCGACTGGGCGAATTACAAGGAAGATTCACAGTTTTACCGATGATTCTCTTTGGAGCTTCGCCCAATTGTCATCATTCACCCCATGGATATGCTGTGATTTTTTTCTCTTTTTTTTTCTCTGAATACAGGGTTTTTCTGTACGATGGTGCACACATGCATGGACAAGTCACAACATTCCGCAGCGGCCACAGTAACAACTTGCCCTGCTATGCTCAAATAAGTCAATGGCCGATACAGTGGCTGCAAGGAGTGACATTTGTCGAGAGAAGAAAAAGCAATTTTTACGCAGCTTTGAGAATTTGTTGCGAATTCGAGACCACATGCTGCCCGAGATTATTTAGTTTGCATGTTCTCAGGAGCCTTTACTAATAATCGGCAGCGTTTTCTGACCACGTTAAACAAGTGTATCAAGGCCCCTTTAAAGAGACCCTGAAACACTTTTTTGAGTAGCCATGGAATTAATTCACTGAAAAAGCGTATTGCCTCACGAACTGAACGCCGCAAAAATATCAAGAATTCGTCCAGTACAAGTGGATTTACAAATATTTGTCACACGCTGCAATCACATTCTCTCTTATCTCGACCCGATGAAATCGCTGGAAGCTAAGCAGGGAGGGATGGCAGGGGCAAACAAAAAACGACACGCTCGCCTCCTCGTGACCTTGAACACTTTTTCCTTTTTAGTTTCATTGAATACACGGCTTTTTCAGTGTGATTGCGTGCATATGCGTGGACAAGCAATGGCCTCTCGCGACGATTTTTGTAACAACCGAGCATGCCATGTTCAAATCAGTCAATGGCTAATAGACGGGTCATCAACGTTTCATTTTTGGGCATATTCCATGATTTGTCGAGGGAAGAAAAAGCAATTTTCAGCTGACTTTGATAATTTATTGCGAATTCCAGGCCGCACGCTGCGCTATAGCATTTGGCTCGTCTGTCCTCAGAAGCCTCTACTACCGATCGGCAGCGTTTTCTGACCATGCTCAAAAAGTGTTGCAGGGCCGCTTTAACACTTCAGAGCTGTCTGTACGCGTGCCAAATTTACACGTTATTCCTAGCACTCAATGTTCCACTGCACAAAAGAGATGTCATGATATACTGATATGTTTTGATTTTGGTTATTAAATTTATGTTGTAATTATCTTGAAGTCCCTGATGTCCTGTATTTGCAAAAATAGAATCACATCTGAGGCCAGAAATGTGAATAAATTTTCTTTTGATCATGCGCAAGGGGAGACACTGCGAGCGCCGACAAGTGCAGACGCGCTTCACATCGGCTCCTGCTTTCATGAACAACTTCGCAGTGAAAATCAGCACGTGCATTTCTCAGAGTGATATCAGAGGATTCGCCTCGTCATCCAGATTCTCAGAATACCAAATACAAGGTGGGCCAACTGTTCTTCGTCTTTTTACGGCGTTTTCTCGATGCGCACCACACGAGATACTGTTAAGCCTCGCGAAACAGGCCGGTTTCCTCAGGGAGCCAGCACTGTAAACCCAATGGAATCCACTGCATCGGCAGGGGACGCACAGCACACTGATGCTGATTCGAGGACGATGGACGTACAACACGATGATGATGAATCGCCAGCCACTACCGAAAGTGAAGAAGGCTGGCACACCGTCTACTACGGACGTCGTTGAAAGTCCGGACATGAATCGGCCAGGGACGCGGTGCTAACAACAAGGTAGAACCCGGCTTTGGTAACACGCAAGCCAAAATGCAGGAAAGACGGATGAGCCGCATCGAAAAAGCGAGCAGAATGCCCAAGCTGCCGGCAGGAGACTACAAAATTGTCATCCGACCGAGAGGAGGCCTACGCGTAGCTGCACTCGGCCCAACAGATATAACCAGAGGTATACATGAAGCCGCGGCTACACCACCAGAAGTCCAGCACTTCGATGTGATAGGCCTCAACAAAACACAGAACATCATGATAGTAAGCACACCAGACGCTGACCGAGCTGACCAGAACAGAAAAAACAAGAAAATACTTATACGGGGCAAATAATATGAAGTGGCAGCAAATGAAACAGCACCAGAAGAAACAGCCAAGGGTATCATTAAAGGAATCCCACTGGAAGAAACCCCTGGTAGCATTAAGGCGGCCCTTGTCACTAAAAGAAACCACAGCGTCATCACGGCGAAACGACTGGGGAATACTACAACAGTCATTGTGCTCTTCAGTGGAAACAAGGTACCCTCCAGTGTGTGCTATGATGGAGTAACAATACCGTGCACGCTACACCACAAGCAAATTGACTATTGCAAGCAGTGCAACAGACTGGGACATAGAAGTGACGTGTGCCCCAACCCCCAAGATAAACTTTGTGCTGGTTGCGGCATTCACAACCCCAAAGACGACCACAGATGCGACCCTAATTGTCAAATCTGTGGAAAAGACCATGTTACAGCCGATAAAAGCTGCACAGCCAGGTTCAATAAACCTTACATTGTAAAACAGAGACAATGGGCCAGACTACGAGAACATCAAAGGCAAAGCTCATCTCCACCAAGAGGACATCCACGAGAGCGCTCGACATCAAGACCCGAAAAACGACAGCAAACAACATCCCGTTCCGGTTCAAAGAACCGCAGCCCTGCAAGCTCCCACCCCAGTTCCAGGTCGGGATCGGCGTCTAAGGGATAAACAAACAAGGTGAGCTGGGCAGATAGAGTACGCGGCTTTCGACCGGAGGGACCTCAGGAGGTTAAAAATAATAACGGTAGCAATAACAATAGTCAAGAGTTAGAGCGGCTTAAAGATGAAAACAGACGAATTAAAGAAATGATAGAACAGATGCAAGCTCAAATAGAACTCCTCACTATGGAACGCAAATGCGGCAAACCCACAAGCCCTAATATAACTAATACCGTAATTCAGGAGGGAACACCCATAGCCGACGATCGCATGGAGATAACTACCCCTCCGTTAAAACAAAAGGCCAAAACGCAGAAAACTACAGATCCCCCAAGCACTAAACAAGAAAGCATCTCGCAACAAACAAGTTTGGATAACATTGAGAAAAAAGTAGACCAGCTATTAACCGCGTTCCAATCTATCCTGGAAACCACCACTAAGACGTCTGTTGATCTGACGGCACTAGCAGCCAGGGTAGAAATGCTGGAACGAGGACGCAACCCAAAAACATCCACAGACCTTCAGGGTGTAGTCGCGAACTTTCACCAACAACCGCAGGCACCATATCCCCTGCAGGCAACTCCCACAAAACCACCAACTCTCTCATCCACCCACCTATTTTCTCGCCTCCCACACAAATAACGAACAGCGATGGTGAGGCGTGGTAAACGACAACTCCGCATATGGCAATGGAACTGTAGAGGATTTAGGGCTAAGAAATCTGTCATCCAGCAGTACATCCGACGAGGTAACAAGCGAGATGTTATTTTACTTCAAGAAACGCATGGCCTCGCCACACTACCAGGATACCAGTCAGTAAGTCCTGAGCGTGAAGAAGGAAATAAAGCTCTCACTACACTAGTAAAGAGGGAGATTACGGTCAGAACCCATAATCTAGAATGTGGATACAATCATATAATGAGAGAACTTCTATCTAGGAAAACAAAAGGGAGCATTCTTAACGTATATAGCAGTCCGTCAAATCACAGACAGCAGTTTCACTCTCTATTTAGGCAGGCCGTGATGTTAGCTGGCAACGCCCCGCTCATCATAGCAGGAGACTTCAACGCCGCACACGAGGCATGGGGGTATGGTTACACCACCCCCTAAAGGGAAACGGTTATGGTAGAGCATACAAGATGAACTCTGATACTCTTACTCTGATAACAGACCCACATGCACACACACGCATAGGTACGAGCACCCAGCGAGACACAACACCGGACCTCACAGTAACCGAGAATGCCCCGGGGCCCACTTGGCACAACAAATTCGATGACTTAGGAAGTGACCATCGCATACTCGAAACACACGTACCATTCACCGATAGCGACAGGATTACGACCATGCGTAACGCGAAACGTCTAGTTAACTGGGATAAATTTCGGGAGATCAGAAAAACGATTACCGAACATCCTGACGATACCCAGCAATGGTGGGAGAGCATAATAGACACCGTCAGGAAAGCCACACAG